ATATCCATTCCTATGTGTACTGCAATTTGGCTTATAGAGTAAAAGATAAAGCTTTTACAATAATTAGTTTCAAACTTACAAAAATGGAGCTAAGTTATTGGGTATGTCAAATTAGGTTTAGTTTTTAAATTAGGATAATAAAATTGAATCCAATTCAACATACAAAATGATCAAAAATAAATCATCTAAATCTTTAGATAAAACCTTATTTACCACAATTTAAGTTGCACTGGATTTTTCAAAAATAACCTGGCAGGAATAAGCAAGAAGATCTAATTCAAAATACCAAATGACCTAGCTTGAATAATAAAATTTAAACATACCAGTTGAATAAGAAGTTAAACCTAACTTAATATACCAAATTGAACATAAAATTAATCTGGCAAAACAACTAATCCAACATATCAAAATGACCTGTCTGGAATAAGTAAGCTGAACCTAATTAGTATTTCGATCTTCATCAAGCACAGTGAATAAAATTAACAATGACAAAAAATATAGTGATAGATTCTAACCAAATATCCTGTTTTCTGTTGTATGTCAATTCTATAAACCATATCTGAATTTTCTTTCTTTGAAAAGAATTCATTTACAACTTTTTTCCCAATAATCTATATTTTTTTTATTAGAATTCTAAAAAGAAATAAAATTAATTGATGATATGCGAATTATCTGAATAAAATAATTGACATACACTAATTAAATGTGCTACAAATTCTATAATTAAAATCCGATTTAGAAATGTGAAAAATTTTATATAGAAAACTAACAGTCATACCTTATATAAGTACTTTCTATACATATAAGCACATTATCTTTATATGTAGACACGCTTATTACTTGAACCAACTACTATTTTATTCTATACTACTAAAATCACTTTTTATAGGTCCCAATAGTACTATATTGGAGTGCGACTGTGCTGATTTCTGGTTAAACCCGTTTTGATCATCAGGTTAGGGCGAAACCCGTTGGTATAGTGTTCTTTGTATATTAACATGGATTTTGCTCTTACATGGATTTAACTATGAATTTTACCTTCATAAAGCCATATTTACAAGTACATAAAAATTTATATAACTTCAGTTTTTTTAAGGTAAGTCACTATTATTATTTGGAGATATACAAAATTTATATACTTAACGTCTATTATATTTATTCGCATAATAAAATTCTTGTTATAATTTCAAACCTTATACAGTAAAACCTCTATAAGTGCATGTTCTTGGAACAAGCTTTAACAACGTGCACTTAAAGATTAATAAGAGAAAGTGTATTTATAGGGAGCATGTATATATTCGGGCCAGAACTTGAACATTGCATTTAGAGAGGGTGTGCACTTATAGAGGGTGCACTTATGGAAGTTTTACTGTATTATATTTAAATTTGACCACGCATATTTAAATTAGAAATTACCAAGCCGTAAGAATTGCTATTTGAATTTATATAACTACTAATTATAAACCAATCACCCAATCCACCTATTAATTTAGCTACTTGGCTCACCTGTTAGTTAAGAACCAACCTTTTATCACTAGTTAGAAGTTTACCCGGCTAATTAAAAACCAACCTATTTCTTGTTTAAACTTACCCTGCTAGTTTAAAACTTATTAATGTAATTAAAAATGTAATTTAAAAAAAAGTTAAAATAAAATTTTAAATAAAAATTTATTATCTTTCTTTAAAAACTGGCAATAAAAATTTATGTTAAAAGTTATATTTATTTTTTTATTTATTTTTGTATAATTTATACATTTGCTAATTCTAACCCTTATTATAATCAAATTTATCTAAGCATATAATACTGCAAACTAGAAACATAACTATTACATAATGCCCTTCAAATAATTCGTTCATGTTAATTATCTTGTTCGACTTGTAATAAAAGATTATTAATATATGGAGTTAAAATCATCTAATTTAAGTTTACAAATTAACAATATTCTTCAAATCATTCTATTCGCATTGATCATTTCATTCTAGATCATTATTAATCGGTTAATCAAATCGGCAAGTCGAGTTTACAAACCAAAAGCATAACTACTTATTTACCATTACATAATTAATGCCCTTCAAATCATTTGTTCGCATTAATTATTTTGTTCAACTTGTAAATAGAAGATTATTAATGTGGAATTAAATCGTCAAATTTAAGTTTACGAAGTATGAACATAGATGTTTACTTGCCATTATATAATACTCTTCAAATTGCATTGATCATTTTATTTGCCCCTAACCAAAAGATCATTATTAATCGGTAAATCAAAATCAGCAAGTCAAGATCACAGACAAAGAACATAACTACTTATTTTACCATTATATATAATGTCCTTCAAATTACTCATTCGCATTATTATCTCGTTCAACTTGTAAATAGAAGATTATAATCGCATTAATCATTTCATTCTGCCCCTAATTAAAGATTATTATTAATCAGTAAATTAAAATCAGTAAGTTGAGTTACCAGACCAAGAACATAAATACTTCCCATTATACAATACTCTTCAAATCGTTTTATTCGCATTGATCATTTTATTCTGCTCTAACTAAAAGATTATTATCAATCAGTAAATTAAAAATTGGCAAGTCAGTTCATAATTACTAATTACTATTATATAAGTCCTTCAAATCATTTATTCTCATTAATTATCTCGTTCAACTTGTAAACAAATATTAGTAAAATTAAAATCATCAAATTTAAGTTCACAAAGTATGAACATAAATACTTATTTACTGTTATATAATACTCTTCAAATCGCATTGATCATTTCATTTGCCCCTAACTAAAAGATCATTATTAGTCAGTAAATTAAAACCAGCAAGTCAACAGACCAGAACATAGCTACTTGTCTACTTATCTACCATTATATAATACTCCTTCAAATCATTCATTCACGTTAAATTATCTAGCTTAACTTTTAATTAAAATTTTCATAAATTAAAAACATAAATACTTACCATTATATAATACTCTTAAAATCGTTCTATTCACATTGATCATTCATTCTGCTCCTAACTAAAAAATCATTATTAATCAGTAAATCAAAATCAGCAAGTCGAGTTCACAGACCAGGAACATAACAACTTATTTACTATTAGATAATTCTCTTCAAATCATTCATTTGCGTTAATTATCTCGTTCAAATTGTAAATAGATTATTATTAATATGTGAAATTAAAATCATCAAATTTAAGTTCACAAAAATATTTACTGTTACACAATATTCTTTAAATTGTTCTATTCGCATTAACCATTCATTTTGCCCTTAAATAAAAGATTATTATTGATTAGTCGAGTTCCCAGACACAATCCTTCAAATCATTCATGGCTTTAATTATCTTGTTCACCTTGTAAATAAAGATTATTAATAGGTGAATTAAAATCATCAAATTTAAGTTTGTAAAATAAAAGCATAAATTCTTACTATCATATGCTTAAAATCGTTTTATTTGTATTGACCATTTCATTTTGTCTATAACTATAAAGATTATTTATTTAGCCAGTAGAATTAAATCAGTCAAGTTCATAAAAACCAAGAAATAAATATTTATTTACTATAATATAATTTTCGCACAACACATCTTAAAAGCTCTTTGCACAATCAAGACAATTTAAAAAATTCACTTTTTAAAAACTACTTCTCTGACGCTAATTAAATGCTTTATGCAACTAGATAAACTAACTCACCTTTCAAATCATTTCATTCATAGTTGGAGAAATTTAAATGCTTATTTCCATTATATAGTACATTCCAAATTGGTTTAGTCGGATGGATCAATCTATAAGTATAATTATCATTATTGTGGTGGAGTTAAATCGGCAAATTAGTAAGAGCCTACACGATAATATATTGGATACAAAAGCAAAAAAAAGTTATTTTAAACTTCATAATTAATGTAAGTTACGTATCTCTTGAGTATATGTTTCTGATCTAATCTATACTGTCTGTTTTTTTTCGTCTACTAAGTAAGTTATTTGAGATTTGGGAATTAAACATAGATTTGTTTAGACTTTGAATTAGTTTAGAAATTAGGTTTGAGTAAGTTATTTGCCAAAGCGATCTGTCTGTTAAATTAAGTTTGGGTAGCATGTTAAGGTGAAAAGTGAAAAAATGAGTACAAATTTACTATAAAATAAGTTAATTTATAAGCCTAATTAATATAAGGTCGAACATAGTGAATGCCATGTTCGTTCAAAGTAAAGTTTGCCAAAAAAAAAGATTGATACTTAAAAACTTTATAATCAAAAACTTTTGGTTTCGCTATATTATTTATACTACTTTAATGCTATATTTGCTTAAAAAAAATTTATACTTTACTTATGACCCGAAAATTTTAATTTTCGTCTTGTTATATATGATCTGCGTCACATCCTAATATAAAAAATTCTTCTGTTGAGTGACGGATCATCAATTAAGGTGAACATTTAAATTGACAATATATAAGTGAGCAAAATAAATCTTTACTTTGCTCGTTATATATTTACTGAACAAAATTATCGTAGTATGCATATTCCTTGAGAATATTGAGGTCCCTATTTGTGAAAATGAAAATAATGTTTCTTTGATTAACTTCCAAAATCTGATAACATTAATAAATGTCGCAGCTAAAGCTGTAAACAGCTGAAGCTGGAAATTAGGGACCTTAATTTAAAAATAAAGACCCTACCAAAATCCATTTATACTTTTTTATTATTAAAACTACTACTAAACCCTAATCTAACTCTAAAAAAAACTCCCTAATAAAAGGCCCAAAAAATTTTTGTAAATTTCATATTAAAATAATTAAAATTTCTAGCATCAGCCGCGAAAATAAATGTTATATTATATTAAAACAAATAATTCCATATACTTACCTCGAAAAGTAAGGCAGTGGATTCTGACTAGCGTTGAATGAAGATTTGTGCAAATTAATATGAAACAATGCTTGAAATGATGCTGATTCAAATAAGCATCATAAAAAAAATGTTACTTATAAGATAGGTGGTGACGGATTTTGTGTTAATGCCATTTGTCTTGTCCTTGTAATCTTGAGTTATTTATAGCTGGTACATTAGTTAGCATTGGATTCTCAAGAATATATTGTTGCAATGCTGGGTTTAGAGAATAAGATACTTGTCTCATGGCTAAGTACAAACCTCTGTGAGTATTTGGCATGCTAACTAGTCTATTTGTTAAGTCAATACCATTAGTATAAGCCGCAGCTATATTAGATATCGCTCCGTTTAAAAACGTCTTTGGGAATGGAATAAGGTATAAAATTTTGCATAAAAATATTCATGCATATTAGTTGAACCTAATTAGACATATCTAGCTGAAAAATAAACAAGCTAACAAATTCAGCCAAGTAACTTGACTAGAATAAATAATTTGATGTAATTTAACATAGCAAAATAAACATCTAGAATAAGTAAACTAGTCATACCAAGTAATATAACTAGAGTATGAACCTAATTCAACATACCAAATAACCTAGCTCAAATCGGATAGAGTAAGCAAGTTGAAATAGCTAGAATAAGTAAACTAAGTATACTGTCACGATCAAAATTGGTTCTTGGACAAAGATTATATCTCGAGATATGTAGTACAGAAAATGACATGAATAGATTAATCAAAAGAATAAAAAATTGAAAAATGTGTATATACTTGCTTTGAAAATCTGTTGAAGTTGGGTTAGTTTTGCGTTTGAAGGTATGTCACTTGATCACAGGTATCAATTATCTGGGAATAGTCTGGGTAATTAAGAATCAATTAAGGTGCATAATATAAGAAAGTTAAGTATCATATGATTAATTAATTATATAATTTAGGAAAAGTCAAATGAAGTATATATAATTAATTAAGATGTAATTAATTTGGAGTTAAATATTAAGTATATAAGGAATGTAAGAAAATAGAGAAAAGTTAGATCTTTTTGCTTACAAAGAGATATCCAACAATAACAAAATGACTCACTGAAACAATAAAATTGAACCTAATTCAACATGCCAAGATGACTACGCAGAATAAGATAGGTATAATTCAACGTAACAAAATGAATCGGATAGAATAGTCAAAATCGAACCTAATTCAGCATACCAAGTGACCCAGCTGGAATGATCACATTGAACTTATCCAAGTTATTTTGGTATGTCAAATTAGAATAACCAAATTGAACCTAATTCAACATACCAAAATAACCCAGCTGGAATAATCAAACAGAATCTAATTCAACATACCAAAATAAGCAAATAAACTGGCTAAAGTAATCAAGTAAAACGTAATTCAACATACCTAAATGATTCGGCTAGAATAAGTATAATAATCTGGCTAGAATGAGCAAGTTGAACCTAATTCAACATACCAAGTAACTTGGCTAGAACAATAAAGTTGAACATAAAAAGTGAGCTGGCTAAAATAGCTAATCCAACATAACAAAAATAACCAGCTAGAATAAGCAAGTCGAATTAATTCAGAATACTAGAAATAATTTAATATAATATAGTAGATTAGATATATACTTATTAGACTTAGTAAATCCAGTGGATATGGCACATTTTTTGTATCTTCTTGTACTGTTTGTACTGTTTGTACTGAATTACCTTGTATAAATCCAGACATAGTCTATTTTTAGTAGTTAATTAGTTAGTTACTTAGATAGTTTTATTACGATATAATCATGTAAAGAAAAGTATAAAAGCGATACCTTTCTCGTTCTAATAAAAGAACAATTCGAAGTTGAACCGAGTTAGTTCAGTTCTAGAAAGAGCTCAAATATGAAATACAAGTATTACGTTCTAATCCCCCTGATATATAAAAGTCTAATTCTATGAGCCTGAATTAGTACCTCGTAATATAAAATAGGGCTCTAATTTAACACTCTAATTACTCAAACCAAGTTTTTCCACTATTATAGTTCAGATAGTACATAGTTTTAGATAATATTAGTGAGGGTTGATATCTGTATTACCCATATTTTCCTGATCTAATACAGTCTTGCCTCTCACAACATACAAAGTGAACCGGCTAGAATAAACAAATCATAATTAATAATAGCAAAATATTCGATTAGAATAAGCAAATTGAACCTGATTTAACTTATCAAAAATTGGCCCAGCTAGAATAAAAGTTGAATCTAATTCAACATACCTACTGAAATGACTTGGGTGAAATAAGCAAACTCGACTGAAATAAAATTGAACTTAATTCAACATGTCAGATAACTCATGAATAAGTAGGTTCATTCATTCGTTAGTATTATACACCTACTTGAATTATTCACTGTGTTACTTGCACTTACTCTTTCACTATACACAAACGTTTCAAAATATATAACGATTTGAATTTGAGTCAAATCTGAAAACCGGATTCTTGAAAGAACATAATACCAACAAAGCTAACTGTCAATAGCTATAATGCTGGCTAATTTAGTCAAAATTATGTTCTTTCAAGAATCTGTTTTTCAAGATTTTGACCCAAAATCTAATGGTATTTATTAAGAGCAGAAAATTGAAATCTTATACTTATTTATTTACTTTATATGCGTGATTACATCATTAGTTTATCTAAATAGACTTTTAAAATTACACAGCCCTTATCTTGATTCTATTAATTATATATATATATATATTTTTTTAATATTTGGGGTATAGCTCCTGCCCCAGACTTTTATTAATACTTAAGTAAATTAATATATGATGGTGCCGTAAATACATACATATTATATATCAGAACTAGGACTAGGACATCAAGTACTAAGACTATTTA